CGGACAATTTGGCGGCGGCGGTGGAGCCCGGCCCGCGGAAGCCGAGTTGAGGGGACACGGTGCCGGCGAGGCGGCCGAGGTTGTTCGCCGGGGTGCCCCCGCCGGCCACCACGGCGGCCAGACGTTCAACCACGTTTTGCGGGAGAGGCTGTTGCCAAAATTTGGACGGGGGGGGGGGGGGGAACCGACAGCGGGGAGGGGACGCGTCAGAGATTGCTGCCGTGCCGGTAGCTCGGCTGGAGACCGCATACGCGGCAGCCAACGCTGCGCACGATACACGCGCGGCAAACTGGTGGCAAAATATGTGTCGTGGTGGTGCCAGTCACTGGCTCCTCATGTCTACTGTTTTGGTCTCTGTCTCGCGCTTGCTCAATGTGTGGTCGCTATATTCGCCTCAAGGACGACATGCTGGTAATGTAGGCAAGAAACACTTGAGACGAAGCTCAAACTACAACCACAACAACGCACCTCCGGGATAGGGTCGGCGGGGTTGATGGGTGCGACACCGGAAGCACCGTTGCCGAGCGGGGTGAGCCCACCGACAGACAGCTGGGTCTGCAGCTGCGGCAGGCCTTGCTGCTGCTGCTGCTGCAGGCCAGAAGACACCGCCAGGCCACCAGCGCCCGAAGCCCCGAGGGCCCCGGGGGGTGGCACGTAGGCACCAGGTCGCGTCGAGGCGCCCCCGCTGCCGCCGACCGCGGAGGAGTCCATCGAAACGTTGCCCGCCCGCGGGGACCCGCCGGGCTTGTTGCCGCTACCTTCGGGAAGGCTTTGCGTCGACAGCTGCGTAGCAGGGGGCCGGCGGAAGGAGGGGGTGGGCGGGGGGGGGCGAACCGCAAATGTATATTCAGCATAGAGGCAAGGTAAGACGTTGCCGACAACAGAGAAGGCATCCATCCATCCATCCGCAACCAAGCATATTCTTTGTGAAACACGGCGAGGCATAAACGCAAACGGACGGCACCATCAACACGAACAACAACAAAAAAAAACGCACGCACACTCACCCAATCGTCTCCTTCCAGGGGCATGCCTTCCAGCGGGAACGGGTCTAGGTCCAAGAAGTCTTCCACCGGCATGTCGAAGTCCCCACCCTCCTCGAGGTTGGGAGGGATGACTTGGTCTTCCAGGGAGCCACTGAGAGGCGTAGGCTCGAGGTCCCCAATGTCGACCGATCCCCAGAACATGTCGTTGGAGGACTCTCCTTGCATGAGCGACAGCCGGGTGTCGGGGAGGGCGCCGGACGAGGCGGAAGCAGCGTTCTGCTGTTGCTGCTGCTGCTGCGTCTGCACCAGTTGCTGCTGCTTTTGTCGGAAAGGCATTTGCTGCTGCTGGTTTTGCTGTTGTTGCTGCTGCTGCTGCTGCGGCTGATTCTGCTGTTGCTGCTGCGGCTGGTTCTGCTGTTGCTGTTGCTGTTGCTGTTGCTGTTGCTGGAGTTGTTGCTGCTGAAGGTGGTGCTGCTGCTGTCGCAGCTGCTGCTGGTGCTGGTGCTGCTGGAGCTGTTGGTTGTGCAGCTGTTGCTGCTGGAGTTGCAACTGGTGCGCCCGCTGACGGCGTGCGGTCTGCTTTTTCAATTCAACAAAAGAACGAACGGGAAAACAAAAAAACAACAGTGAAGCAAGGGTAATTCAAAGCAACATGGCGGCAACAACAATAAAAAGACGCACAACTAATGCATCATACCTTCGCAAAACCGCGCACGGATTGCTGGGCACAAGCATTTATCTCATCTCCTATGTACTCGCACTTATGGTCCATAAAGGGAGCAGGCCTATTCAGCAGCGCACCTCGACTTGCTGCCGTTCGTGGGCGGCCTTCTGCTGCTGCTGCTGCTGTAGCTGCTGCTGCTGAAGCTGTAGCTGCTGTTGTTGCTGCTGCTGCTGTGCCTGCTGCTGTTGCAGGAGCTGATGCTGCTGCATTGCCCGCCGTTGCCGCTGTAAGGGTCAAGACGAACAGTTTGATGTGGCATGGGGATTATGCAGACGAAAAGTCAGCAACAGCTTGAAACCAACATCGGAAGGGAGCAACTTGGGTTGCCCTATCACGCACCTTGTTCATTGAACACAAGCAACATCGACGTTTTGCATGCAGCCGACGAAAAGGCGTACCAATTCCGAAAAAAAAAACCGGGTGGTTCGAACATCTCCCCCCAGACCACCGACAAGAAATTCACAGCAACAGCAGTCTCGTGCACAAAGCCGGCCCAACAAGCCATCTTATCTACCTGTGCAGACACCTTACACAGACCCCCACCTGTTGTTGAGTCTGTCGTAAGAAGTTCTGCTGCTGCTGCTGCTGCTGCTGCGGAGTTCGGTACCCGGTCCCGGTGTCGTTCAGGGGGATCGGGTCCAGGCTTAGCGCCGCCGAATCACCCCCGTCGATGGATCCCGTGAGGGTGGGGCCCACAGAGGAGACGGGGGTCCCTACACCACCCGCGGTGCCCCCAAGCGGACCGAGGGTAGAGTTGGACTGGCCGGGGCTGAAAGCATTCTGATCGGCGGAGTACTGACGAGAAGGTTGCTGCAAGTTGGATCACAGACGAAGGCGAGGGGGGAGGCGTGGGTGGGTGGGTGGGTGGGTGCAGCAGGGCCTACGATTTTCTTTACGTTCTTGTGGTCCGACATCCCAAATCAAAGCTCGCAACAGCATTGCAGTCAGAGTCAACATCGTCGAGTCTTCGCTCAGTCTCGGCCCACTCTTTTTCCTTGCCAACGGTTTCCCCTCTGGTGAAGCCAAGAGTCAACAAAATCGTTGTGGAGCTTACCTGAGGAGGCATGCCACCTCCGCCACCACCGCCACCACCACCACCACCACCACCACCTCCGTACTGGGTTTTGGAGTGGTCGCGGATCATGACCTGAGAGACGCGGGGGGGACGATCGAGGGAAACACGAAACCACAGGTGTGAAACAAAACGTCAACAGCGGGTGCGTCCCGTACCGTGGGTACAAAACTCACAAGCCACGGGAGCCTGTACTGCTATGCACGGCCAAAAAATTATCACATATGATAGTACCCCAAAAGAACTTGTGAAAATTTCGCGCTGTGCCAAAAGAGACGTGGTCCATCCTGCCCCCCCTCAACTCTGCACTATGACGTCGCGGCCATCTTTTATAAATTAATTCAGACACGAACAAAAACCTCGCTCCCTGCCTCCCCCCGTTTCTCACCTGTAGGGCGTTACTGGCCTTGTGCACGCGAATGAGGGTGTGCTCCAGCGACTGGAGGCTGGCGGCGGAGGGCACGTGGCCCGTGTCGTGGCATCGGTTGATGTACAGCAGGGCGTTGTGGCCCTCCTTCACGTACTGCACCAGCTTGAGCACCTGTTCCGAGTTCTGCGACGCCGGCCTCGTCTTGTGGAGCTTCTTGAGCAGGCTGGAGCCATGCTGAACGAAGTAGTGGATGTCCTCCTGGTATATGTTACGGAGCTCCTCGGCGCGACGACTGCACCAACAATGACGTGGTGACACACAAACACATCGTCCACAAGGACAAAAACCAGGGAGCAAGGAGAGAAAAACAAGGGCGGGAGGGAGAAGGCATGATGTCCGAGCTTGAAAAACAAAATGACGACAAGACAACACATCGATGCTCCTTTGGCTTTGGCCGTAACAGCTATGCGTGTCATCAAGCTTTAGGCTAGCCTCCACCAAGCGCGAAAACAACGAACCTGCGGTGCTGCTTCGCGCGCTCTTCTTTTAACGCCGCCTCGTGCTGGCCGGTCGATGTACCGCTGCCGCCGCCGACGCCGCCGACGCCGCCACCGCCTGTGTGGCCCGTCGACATCACCATCCCGGCCGACACTCCCACCATCCCGGTCGACGAGCCAATGGAATTCTGCCTGGGGAAACCCATCGCCGCCGAAGCCACCACGTTTGCCGCGGCTTGCGCCGCCGCGTCTACTCCCTGGCCACCTCTCCCCGCCCCTCCCGCCCAGGTTTGGCCGCCCGACCCCTGGTACGCGCCGCCGGTGCCTCGCCCTCCGCCCCCTCCTCTGCCGGCGTTGGC